ATTTAAATCTTTCCCAGAGTTCTTCTGGATGTAACGGTTGACAATGTATTAAAATACGTGCAAATAATCTACGAAGTTATCGTGGCATCATCCATAACAACTTCATCCATAGCTCGCATCCATTCTTCATCATCTTCAATCAAACCTAAAGCTAAACATGTAGCTGTAAAAGTTGGATAAATTTCTCCATTAACAGTCCTTAGATCTTCAAAACTGGTTGCTCCTTTAACAGTAAGCAACAATAACCGTAAGTGAAATAATTCTAATTGAGTTGGACTAACTGAATACATTCGTACCTACACAATTAAAGTGACTACTATGTTTAACCCAACAAGAAACATTTTGACCATTAATTTTTTGTTTTTTAAATGTATAATGACATGGAATTTCTGTATATAAATAATTGTTTGCTTCTTTATCACGCAAATTTAGTGCAAAATAGTCCATTAACATGGTAACTTGATTTAAAGCAGAAGAAATTGCCTCTTCAGTAGATTCATTTTCAATTGTTATATTATGTTCATTAGGTAAATGCACGGACAAACATATTACAGTGTGACTTTTATCTTGTAATTTCTTTTCAAGTATACGCCAGCTAGCTTCCACAGGTCCTACATAACGAGCTTCAATATAATCACGTATCTCATCATGTTCTAAAACTACATCTTCTGTTACTGGTTCAACTGTTACAGTAGCAGCATCATGACCTTTATAAAGATATTTAACTGATTTGATACTTGAAACTACTTCAACATTTATATGACTATTAAATATAAGCGATAATATAGGACAATATGGTACAACATGACTATTATCAACTATATATCCACCAGGACTTTCAAAAGTTTTACCAACATCCCGTCTACGATAATAAGTATATGAATCTTCATCCATTCTAGTTTCTTCCATAAATGGTTTTGGATAATGTTTTGAACATTTTCCATTAACCAAACACCAATCACCACAAGGTCCATGTATCATATGTTTCATAACTATATCATGTAATACACGATTATCATTTGGGTCAGGAATTTCAGCAGAAATATACTTATCTACAACATATGGAGTTGTCATTTTAAAATTGTGCTTTAGCGTAATTAACATATGAACATGAGGCAAGCCACGTTTTTGAAACTCAATAACGTATACAAATGCTGCTATCTCACCGAAAAAGTTTTGTTTAACAATTAAATCAATTAAATAATCTTTCTTAATATTAAAAACTCGAGCACATAAATCAGGTCTGTCAGAGGTTTGTTGACCAAAAAGAAGATTTTCTTCAATCTCACGCCATTTCGGATTACATGTCATTGTGATAAAAAGGTCTGGTTTACCAAATTTATTAACAATTGCTATCGCATCTTGATAATTTTGCATCATATTACGTGGTGATCTGATAAATGTGGAAAAAAGTATAACCATTTTTCCAACACGGTCATTTATATTATTTGTCCTATCTTCCATATAATCTACTAAACCCTTATATATTTCAATACGTAATTCTTTTTGATGCGTTTTACAATAATCTATTCTATCTTTTTCAATTTTTATCTACAAGCCATTGTTGAAATAAACGACGGCTTAATAAAAAAAACATTAAATTCATTTCGAATGGCTATACGATATTTAATATATTGCTCTCTAGTTATTCTTCTAGTACTATGTAATTTCATTAAATTACGATCCCATCCCCTAGTTCCATATGGATAAAATAATGGATATATCCAAGGTTCTACATTTGGATCCATAGTACTAATCTGTTGTAAGCTTTTAGTATTACGGTTACGTATTGTAACATAAGAATCCGGAATTTCTCCGTCAGAAGTCGTTTTAAAAACTGCAGCCACTTCATTTGTTCTTTGAACATTATATCTACGTCTATCCATCCTTGGTTTTAATGAGAATACTAATTGTAATTCAGGTATTGGTTCACTGCAATTTATTTCAGTTCGTTGTTGATTTTGTATTTCTTCACCCATCATTAATTATGATTGAGCAAATATATTATATTCTCGCATTAAATTTTCAAGATTTGTTACTATTTCAAAATCTAAACACGAATTCCTATTAATACGATATTCTACTGCTTCATTCGAATCAACAATAAATAGCTGTCCGTAAGTCGAAATTTCATTCTGTACAGCATGTAACGCTGTGTTAATTTGATAATAAATTTGACCTTGTATTTTAAAACAATATGGACCAGGACGTCTTCCTTGCATGTTAACTAAATTTGCATTAAAAGACACAAAAGAAAATAAACTATTATAACTACGAATATGATCAAAAAAACACTTTGACTTTACATGATTTCCATCAAATAAGGAACGTAGAAACTCAGGTAATTCAGGCATTGGTTGCAGATGAACTGCGCCGTGATTGCAACAATCATGAAATTAATTTCTTCTATTAATAACTTGTTCAGCTGCAAAATGTTTTGCATTGCAATGAACACAGGAAACGTTCATAGGGCCAATATAATATTCAATTACGTTATCAAATAACAAGTTATGAATACCTAAATTAGGTTGATTTCTTATACGTGATCGATAATTAGTCTGATATATTACATGTCGTTGACTGAATGAAATATGTGAATTGTTTTCAACAATTTCACCACTTAATTCTATCATACAGTTTTCACGTGAAGTACCAGCGACAGGAATTACTTGTTGATAATTTGAGGTAGATTCTACATTCTCACTGCTATTAACTATTCTCTTAATTTGACGACGTCCTCGTTGATTTTCTCTCCTTTTTTCAAGACAACGTTGTTTAAATTCCTCTTCTTCCTCAGGAGTACGTTCAATTTTGCGTCTCGGCATTTTAACTTAATAATGAAATTAAATGTTATTGCAACAATATATACACGGTGATACTAAAATATTTAAAGTCAAATTCAATTAAAATTATAAACTTATATGTGTACCAGTGTAATCATCATCATCATCATCATCAATATCATCATCATTATCATCATCATCATCATCATCATCATCAATATCATCATCATTATCATCATCATCATCATCATCATCATTATCGTCATAATCATCATCATCATCATCATCATCATTATTAATATCATCATCAACATCATCATCATCAGCAACAACAACAACATCATCATTATTACATAATTAATTTGTATTATTATAAATACAGGAATTAAATTCAGCAATTGAAATTAACTTAATTATTTATTATTTATTTATTAGTCTATTCTTTACAATATACAAAAAATGGATTACAATTAAATTATCATATTTTCTTTGAAATACTATGAATTAAAGAAAATCTATTTACATTAAAACTATATTTTCTTGATAAATACTATTCTCACATCTGGTTCTTCATATACAGGGTGACCCATTTTAACTTAGGCAGCCAAATAACTCGAAAAATAAGCACACTACGAAAAAATGTTTAGAATCAAAATTTCGTCATTTCGAGGGGGACGTACAATGACGTTAAAATTAGCCCCCCCCCACCCGCCCCCCTGGGCGGTGAGGGGGGGCAAGTTTGAAATCTTAAATGGGAACCCCTATTTTTTATTGCATATTCGGAATCTCTGGCTAAAAACACATACAATTTGTCTGAAACATTTTTCTCGATTCATGATAGATGGCGCTGTAATCGACGAAATTCAATTTCTTCGATTTCTCTTACTGAGAACCCATGCTTACGATTCTGCAATAAATTAACAATAAAAATACCACGTTTTCATTGTTAATACGCGAAATTAGTCTTAAAACAAACTTCTCATTATTTTTTATTACTCATTAATTACTTCTCAAGAAACTGCTTTTAGCGTAACCCAGGAACAACGTCGTGGACGTAGCAGTTTTCTGTTCCCTTCGGGGTGCTTGATTAACGTGAGTCCCCTCGCCTCTCACAATTCGGGGTGCTTGAACGTGTGGTGACCCAGCCAGTGAAGGCAAGGTCAAGTAGTGACCCAGCCAGTGAAGACAAAGTCAAGTAGTGACCCAGCCAGTGAAGGCAAGGTCGTGTGGTGACCCAACCAGTTAAGGCAAGATTGCATTGTTATCAGCTCTCTCCGCATGGAGGAGATGCTCAAAGTGTGCACCATTATTTTCTAAGGATAACAGTAATCGACAGCGAAAGTTACGTTGTACATTTTCTAGCATTAAAGGAGTTATAGCTTCACAAGCTCTTCTTATTCTTTCCATCATATTCAATCTTGTCGTTGGAGCTTTACTATACACTGCATCTTTAACGTATCCCCATAAAAAGAAATCAAGGGGGTTCAAATCCGGTGATCTCGGAGGCCACAGAACTGGTCCACCCCGCCCTATCCACCGATTTGGGAACCTTTGATTCAAAAACATCCGTACAATACGAGCATAATGAGCAGGAGCACCATCTTGTTGATACCATAAATTTAGTCTAACTGCAAGGGGAACATTCTCTAGGTATGCTGGCAAAT